CATTTATAAAACGGGTAGATTAAATGTGCCAATGATAAAGGGGCGCGGTGGGTGTGGGCCGCCAGAACACTGGAATCGCGGGTTCAAATCCCACTAGAGGCATGCATGTCTGTCCGGGTCTCTCTGCGTTGTGCTGTCCCTTGTGGACAAAAGTCTCGCAACGGGCCAATCAATCCCTCGTCCATACAGTGGTACCAAACGTCGAAAAACCCTCGAAATTCCTGCAGAAAAAATCCCGCATGCGAACTGAATGTGACCCCAAATTGTGTCAAGACCGAGGGAAAATTTGGCCTGACTCACGTAATTACTAATGCAAACTAAAGTTGTGCGCGTTCATTAGAACGTGGGTGGGGGGGGGGGAAAAAATATAGCTCCATGAATTTTTATTGTCGGCACTCGGTGGAGCCGAGTGGTCAGCTTTACGTTCCGGCCGCCTTACTGCCGGGAAAGAAGACAGCGACATTCTTAGAAGAGGAGAATGAATGAACCACAGAGCAGGTGTGACACAGTAGGGGAGACTCTCCGTATTTACCCCTGCAGGGACACGAACCCTGGTCGTCCTGCTTTAACCTAGTCACTACACACCGACTGAGACTCCGGAAACCATGTATAAGAATTTACTAAGGCGAGTCGAAAAGGAAGGTCAATTTTAATTTAAAATTAAAATTGACGATGTGAGGACTGGAAAATCTCATCGGTATAAATAACATGAACCGTCCTTTATTTGATCTTCGCTATTTCAGGTCGTGACAATTTTGTTACGGCTGATCTGACGTGACGCAACAAACTATAACAATGTTCTGAGGTCAGAGGGCGTATAAACTGATTGCATTTACGGAAGAATTGCAGTTCGGTAAGGCGACAGCCGTGTGAGTCAGAGGAAAGATCGGAAAGGATACGGCCACAGACTGTGAAGTGCCGAGGTAAAGTAACCGAACAATCAGCATTACGTAATGAACATCGGCCACGGAATAAATCAGCGCAAGAATGGAATAAGGTCCGAGAAATTAGGAAAGTTTGTGGACCGTTGGACCAACTGCATTAAGGATAGGGCGACCAGTTTGGAAATTAAGACACACTCAACTACTGTGTCAGTAGGATTATTTGTCGAAACATGTATGACAACAGTAAAATTGTATTTCATTTTTCAACGAAGACAATATACACACTGTTTAAAAAAACATGTAGATGTGTACATGGATTTGAATCAACACACATCACACATTTAACTGCGTGTTTTTACGCCGTTTTGCTTATGAACTATCTCGGCTTCAGGGTTACGCGAAATGCTGCCATCTTCAATACCAGTAAACCGGGAAGATGAGGCGGGATATTAAGGCACATATCCCCTAAGGTCCCTTCTTAACTCGCCAGATGCCTGTTTTATCTCTCGTCGTGAAAAGCGGTGGAAATGCAGCTGCGAGGAAGGAACGAGAAAAGAGATCGATTCTGCTCCAGTGCCAAGGGTTAACTTCCAGGGGTTGTTCTGACGATTTTCAACCCTGTCTTCCTCCTTCCAACCTACCCTCGGCAACGAATCCTTCTTTCATGACACACTTCAGCCTAAAGGTACGTTTTCAAGGAAGGAAACAGTTGCAAAAGAGTTTCCCCACATTAAAATTCCTCGAGAGCTTGTGCAATATCATGGATCATTACTTTGAAACACCCGTTATTAAAATAAAAAAATCGACGACATCTTTTCAGAAATGACACAGTCCTGAGGATGCTTGGCATTCGGGCTTCCTCGACGGCACAGACCAGAACTCTGTAATTACTTAAAAAATCAAAATGGGGCAAGCAGACGAGAATGACAAACTCCACGGATCGGATTCTTTACCGAGAGACTATAAAAAAAAAACATATTCGCCTTTTACGGAAGTCGAACGTTCATCCACAAACGTGTTTGGACCCTATCCTGAGAAAGACGAGTCCAGGCAAGATTTCAGGTTCTCACGGAGACGAGTGCGATGTTGTGCCGTAAAGTTTGGTATAAATCGACCGACGTTTCAGTGGTGGTTACTGCCTCATCGCCCTGATGAAGGAGGCAGAGTTTCGTGTCCACGTCGTAAAGTATTCCGATGATTACAAGAACAGACATCACACACACACGACCACATAATTCTGTCCTGGTTTCGAGTCCCGGCGAAGATTTTGGGATTAGAAAAAATATTTCTCATATTAAGCGATACGTAACAAGTGATCAGCCCTGGGAAAGCTTTTGGGCAAGAAAGATCTATACGAAGTGTAAACTGTTTATAATTTCCCAGTATCGAATAACGAGAAGCAAAATTAACTTTAAATAAATTACAATAGCAGGCGTACAAATTCACTATGATAATGCGATGAAGGAAATGTACGACATTCGTGAATACCGATAAGCAATACAAACAAGATTGCAAGAACAAGAAACGCCGATAAGGAAAGATTAGACGCACTAGCTGAGTGTTTAAGGAGAGATGGAACGAGGCACATTTGATACGAAATGTGGAATGTCATTCCCATTTTGTAACGGAGAACCGAATGTTTCGTCCCATCTTCGTCTAGGTCTTGCAAATGGCCCTTTCTTACCGGGTATTCGAAATAAAATTGTAATTTTTCCAATTTCCCACTGCCGCCTGACACATGCGGTTTCCTGATCTTTTACCCTATTCAAAAGTTCTATGCTTTTCCACAGTCACTACCCTTTTAATCGTTGTGGACTG